ATATATAGTTACTATCTAATAATTTTCTCAATGAGCTTCTTTCTGATAATTTTCATGTGTGTGTGGCAATTCTTTCCTTCTTATTTGCTTCTTACTTTCTTATCTCTTCTTTATTTACTAAGTTATATTTTTTTCTTTAATGACTGTAATTACATAATCTCATACAATTTGACTGTCACTGTAATCACAATTTCTATATAGTACATCATGTACCAGAACTCTGCAAAACTTGAATGAGTAGAACCTCATTCATGCATGGTGCTCAGATACATTTCTAAAGACTTGGGACCTCGTTTCTGGTATAAACTGCCTGTCTAGATCATTGTGTCCTACTTTTTAACTGAGCTCTGAATTCAATGATCTGCTAAGCATTCTGGACATATTCTTCACAGAGTGCTCTGCCTGCCTAGCAGGTGTTCATCATGTCCTCAGTTGAGACAGCTTCTCCTTGTCTTGTTAATTACTGGAATTAGAAACTTACACTGTCTCTTTCACTTGTGGTCCCTTATAGACAATTCCAAAAGAGTAAACCTAATTTGTCTGTCAGCATATTAATACTTTTTCATGCCATTTTTACCATAACATTGTGAAGCAAGACTTTGAACAACTTGAGAGTTGGTCCAAAAATGCAATTTGAATAAGCCTTCTATGCCTAATAACCACTTCTGCCAGCCACTTCTCTCTTTCCTCTTCCCTCACCACCATTACCAAAAGAGTCTCCATCTAAAGGAAATCAGAGAAAAGATAACCAAGAGGCACTGGTAGAGAAGGATTCTTTGATACAACACCCATGTTCCTATTGTCTAGGAGACTTCACTGTGACTTAGGATCTCTACCTTGTGATTCTAATGGTTTCTGGATCTTGTGGAGCTCAGCCCATCACTCCTTAGGTTATCTTGTGAGTCTTCCATGCAACATCAATATAGCATCTTCTATAGAGTTCCCTAAACCCTATGAGTCAAGTGACAGAAAGCATTAAAGAGACTATGATCTTACTGAGGTCCCTCCTTGCAAAATAAGGGAAGAAATTCAAAATAAGTTGTAGTAGAACTTCATGCTGCAGATGAAAGTAGAAGAAATATTAGGCAGAATTTTATTCAATTCTCATGTGCTTAAGCAATATATTTAGAGTAATGCTTTTAATTATTTAGAGAAACTGAGCTTAATAAATCCATTTTCCAAAGTATGAGTCTCCCACTGAATTCTGAGCTTAACCATTAGCACTGACCTCTGCCTTCTTCTTAAGTGTGAGCTACTGCATTTTTGAATTTACTTGTCTCTTGACCTCACAGTTATCCTATCTCCTGGAACTTTCATTTTTTTTTTCATCTAAGTATGTATTACTATTAATTGCTGCACATAACACTAACTCCATTTCTGGAAGCCCTGACGTGTTTATCATGTAACTTGTCCTTTTCCCGTTTGGTTCTTATAAAGAAGAATTCCTACTGTGTGACTTCGGCTCATTGTATGTTCCTAAGGATCCACTGAAAGCCAGAAACCACGAAAAAATAAGATGTGTAAGAGGTTTATTTGTGTTGAGAACAGAGAAGACAATCTGCAGACTGTGACACAGTTCTAATGGGTCTCCTGGGAAGGCTAGAGGGAAAGAAGAATGACTCAAGTAGGAGACCTTTGAGACTCTCCCTCAGTTCCAGGAAGGATGCAGTCATACTAATGGGGAGACCTGGAGACAAAATCACCCATTAATACTAGTTTTCATCTCAATCGATTGGACCTTCTTTAATTGCACTATTGTGCTCAGGCATTGACTGGGATGAGTTCATTGGAAGCATGTTCTTGGTGGATCCATAGGAACAGCAGCTGCTGACAACAGTCAGCTATGCCTTTTGTGGCAGATGATTGAAAAAATTGGTTTTTCTGGGTTGCCACAGCAATGAGTAATCGTGGGATTTTTAGACATCATCATTGGAGATATTTTTGACCCATGATTTTTCCTTCTGACATTTCCTATGTGAGTTCACCCTTACGCTTCCTTCTTTTTCTTCGTTAACTCTTTATTAAAATGTCAGCTGCTTAGATGATTTTCTCCAGAGACATCAGTCAATGTTACATTTGCCCTTGAGTAACTCCTTATCATATTACCCTGATGTATTTTTTTCTCACAGTCTGGATTACTCTCTGACTTATGAATTTGAGTGTTTGTCTTCCCCACCCTATTAGTACAGTTTTCTACTCTGAGTTATTCTCTATTCTGTCACAAATTCCGGCACAGCAGGATAAAAGTAATGTCAACAGGGGTTGGAGTGCACTAAAACCATTGTTATTATTGAGGCTATTTTCTCTTCATTCTATCACTCATGGTGGATTCTACTCCCTCACATCACCCAAGTCACTCACTGATCTCCCACATTGTATATCTCAATGCCTTAATGTACTGGAGCCAGTGCTGTACCTCAACAGTGCATCAGATACTCAACAGGTGAATACTGATAAGCAGCAGAAAAATTCCAATATATATGCAACTTCCTAAATAAGTGCCGTCTCGTGTGCATGACAGCTTCTGGGCTGGGGCAGCATAATGTGCATTTGAGTCTATATCCGACTGTGAGAGAGACCCAGCAGGAAGACAGGGAGACGGGCTTGAGCCCAGGCAGCCTCCAGAACAACTGAGAGCAAAGTCGACTAGATGCCTTTTCTCTTTGCAGGAGGTGTATCCATTTGGTGATCAAATAGGAACAGCACTGTCAGGTTTGGCGAGGAAACCTGGTGTTTGCTTTGTACTGGGGACAGGCCCCAAGGCTACTGCCTGATCAGGGGCCAGGGACAGGGGCTGATTGTTCCCGAACCCTTTCTTGTGAGAGCAACTCCTTTGTTCAGTGATCAAAGGTTCCTTCCATGGATGGTCCTCACTTCAATGCCACATTTGTCATACACCCCTGGAGAAGGCCCCTCCCCAATTTTTAGTCTGATGCTATTTCCTAGCATCAGAAGGAGCAGGTGAATTTCATTGTTGAGAATTAATCTTGTCATAAGTATTTTTGAAATTTCTTCTCGGTTGAAATCACTGATTTAGCAAATGTTGGGTTTTTATATTTTCAAAAAGGACACATACCAGGGCTCTTTGCTGGCTGGGAAGGAAGCAGAATGTTGAAAGCACGGAATGAGGTTTTTGAGAAATCTGGCTTAGAATTATAGGTCCCCCATTTTCTAGCTGTGCTACTTGGGTTAGTTACTTTGCGTCTCTGTGTATCGTTTCGTATATCCCCAGAGTTTGAATTGTAATACCTATCACATCGATTTTTCTTGATGGATAAACATGATATTATGTGCTTTTATATTTTCTGGCTTGTACTAGGCTCAATAGAGTCATTTCTGTGTTACCTCTGGATGAACTTCCCCAAGTCCACCCAGTGCTAAAGTTTAAATAATACTACCCCTTGCAAAATTCCTATTGAAACTTCATAGTCGGTGCTATAGTTTCAGGACTTGTGGCCTTTGGGAAAAGATTAAATCAGGTTGGAATTAAAGAGAGCGCTTTCTTGCCCTTCCACCCTTTCCATCATGTGAGGGCACAATGTTCATGCTCTACTCAGAATGCCTCAGCAAGGAACTCACATGAAAAGAGAGACTAGGCTCCTACCAGGCCAGAAACCTCTGACACTTTGATCTTGGACTCATCGCCACGCTTACTGTGAGAACTAGATCTCAGCTCTTTATAAATTATCCTGTCTTGGGCATTTTGTCATAGCACTACAAATGGATCAAGACACCCAATGCAATGAGTACAGCACTAGTGATATAGGAAGATTTTTGTTCCTTCTGACCCAACTCTGGAGGACTTTGTCACTGGAGAATATTTAGGATTCCCCAACCTATTTGAACTGCTACTTAACAGAGGGAGTTATGAAGCAAAGAAATCCTTTCAATTTATTTATCAAGGGTCTTGCAAGCTTCTGCTTTAAGGTGGGTGAATCAATTAGGCAGTATTGAGCGGGGAAAGTTAATCTGTATCCAAAGCATTTTACTACACAAACAAGTTAAATAAAAAAAAAAAATCAAGTGCAGGCCAATTGACTTTTCCCCCACTATGGCTGAAACTGAGGAAAGAGGATCCTTTCCTTGTTGATCTCTTCTAATCCCTTGCCAACTGTACCTGAGAGAAGAAGCAGAGTCCTGTGGGAACAAGAGGCTAGAAATCTGATGTGTGACCAACAAGCCATGTGGCTGAAAATCATTTGCCTGGAAAATTCAAGACCTGTGGTATTCTTGCTCTTTTGGTGATTTAGAGGACTTTTCTCAAGAAGAATGTTGGATCCGTGGATTTATGTTGCAGGGAAACCATTGCTTCCAAGAGTGCATTCTTTCTCTCTGCATATACTTTGTTAATTGGGGTTGGGTCTTAGTGTCATCACTGATGGTTCTCTTTCTCTGTACCCCACATCTGAGCATATGAGAATATCTAACAGGGCTGTCTTTATGAGTTAGTCACTTTCCCCCTTTTAGATTGCCACCCTTCCATTCATGTGCTCATTAACTCTTGCCCGGAACACTGCAGGGCTATGCATCAAGCATTCTTTGTCTGTCTCTACTCTTGTCTCTGTTTCATTGCATACACCAAAGCTGAGCAGGTCTTCCTTAAGACATGGTCAAAGAATTGCATGCTTTGGTATCAGAGAGACTCCATTTGGCATCTCTACTGAGCTATTGTTTTGGATAAATCACTAAATCTTTCAGAGCCACAGTATACTCATTGTTAAAGTGGGGATAATTATAATCCTTATCCAAAATATATATGACACATAAAAATGGTAGTCTATGGAAAGTATTCAGTGTGATGCCTAGCACCTAGCAAAAACTCAATATATGGAAGCTAATATTAGGATACCATAAGAATTTTTTGGAAAAAAAAGACATTTTTTCCCTAATGTTCTCCCAAGATTTGTTTCTTTATGAGCAAAAAACATTTCTAATTCATCCAGGTATCAACTACAGGCCTGTGCAATACCATGAAGAGGGAGGCACCCAGGCAATTCTCTCTATTGGTATTTGGGGAAAATCCCAATTTTATTATCGACCTTGCAACTAAGCATGTGGAAGGATCATTTCCAGTTAGAACAATAGTGTAAACAAAGGTATGGCACAGAGATTAATGAATAAAACAGTGAATATCTACTCTGAAGAACCTGCCTAATGTGCCCCCCCCCAAAAATACAATTTATGTAGGGAAGCAATGGAATACATTGCATGAAGGAATTGGAAGGAGAGTCTTGGATGTCCTAGAATGCCAGGCAATAAGTATGTGGGACACTGGGGGAACTACTGAATACTTTTTGAGCAGGGGGAGTGACAGAACTGGGCAAAAGAAACAACGTCCATCCATCGGGGTTGGGTAGGGACAGGGCACAATGGCTTAAGAGTTCAGAGCAGCTTACCCATTTCTATTTCCTGACTTGTTCATCTTCCATGGGGCATGATGAATGCTGACTTTAGACTCCTGCCTTTGGTTCTGCTGCAATTCAGTAGCTTAATCTTTTTCCAATCTCAGCAGTTGCCTAATAATCTGTTCCAGGCTCAGAAATTTCATTAACTCCTCAATGATGTCCACAGGGTTGGACCATGGATTTCATCTGTTAAGCTTCTTTTATTTCGGCTACTATACAAATTACCCTCTGCCTGAAACAAAAAAAGAAAAAGAAAAAAAAAATTAGATGTCCAGAGGAGAAATTGAATTCCAGAAGCAATGGCTTGATATTGGAGTAACCCCCAATTCTTTCACTGGTAGCTTAAGAAGGATTGGTGTCATATCTGGGATGTTGTGATTATCTTATCATCTTTGGAAAACTACATTATACTTGGTAGAAATGGAACAGTGCCTGGTACTGGAAATGTGATAAATGTGCATTGGTTTCTTCCAAGACTGAGAAATGGGGAGATGAGAAGACGGGAAGCCTCTAAATATCTCCTGCTTAACACCACTGGGCTGCTGTACACAGCCTGGCGAATGATGGTGGGATTCAGGTGTGAGCAGAAAATAGACTTTTGGACAGTGTCATTTCTTATCATCTCCCCTCTGGAAAGCTTCTTCCAGCTTGTAAAGTGAGTTGCAACTGTTTTCATGGCACATTGAACCTTTCCTGTTATAGCCCTTATAAAAACCCATTACACCGTTTCACTAAACATCTGGTTTTGTCTTCCTTCTTTCTTTCTTTCTTTCTTGTTTAAGAGCAAAAGTCAAGCAGAAGCCGGTGCTGGAGGACCAAAACCTTGATAAATTTCATCATTATCACAGTTAATGAAGAATTTACTAATTGGTAGTCAAGGAAACTAGAAAAAAACAACAAACGGCAGAGCTGATTTTTGTAAATAGAATAATGCACAGAAATGAGAATGACAGGATCTGAGTGGTGACTGGCGGTGATATCAGTGGTACTCTGTCCTCTGGCGCCACAATGGCACATTTTTACAGGATGAATTCCTTCCTCCAAGTAGAAGTTTAGACCTTCAAAAGCTTCAGCAGGAACAGGAAGAAAACTTGGGTCCCTGTGGGTGTCTTTTGTGGGTACTTGTCTCCTTGCTTGTTTGGAGAATCAAGATTCTTCCTCATCACTGTCCAGGACCTGGTCACAGTCCTAACACATAAGAAGGGAGAGGGTCAATGGCACTGAACAAAGACCACCCAGAGACCTTTCTCACTCGGGCTGATGCTTCCCCAAGGACGTCCAGGAAAGGCTGAGCAGGCATGAGCTAATTTCAGCATTGCTGACATGTTTTCAAAACATTTCTCATAACTGATTTTTGGATCACTGTTTTCTCTTGAAATAAAAGGGCAGCCTATGTGCATTTTTAAGTAGGTGGTTTGCAATATATTTCTTTGGGATTTTTCCTTCAGGAAGAAGTTTTAGATGTAAAGTCTTACACAAAAAAATGCTGACCCTTTGATTATATTGTATTCAAATCATCTTTCATCTTTTGAAATATAACTCTTATTGATAAATTGCCCTAAATATGTTTTGAAATTTGCATAGAATTATGCAATTAGGATATATTCTAACCCAATAGGATTATAAATTTGTAGGACTATATCCTGTGTAGTTTTTGTTTTCTTTTCTGTCTTAAGAAAGTATCTCACTAAATTGTCAAGGCTAGCCTCAAACTTGTGATCCTCCTGCCTCAGCCTCCCAAGTAGATGGGATTACATGTATGCACCACCATCCCAGCTTCTGAATATTTTTAATTCGTTTTTTTAAGAAAATGAGTGTTCCCCATCTCCTTTTTATTCCATGTTCCTCTATGAACTATGTAGGCTGGCACTCTTACTTTGTAAATAGAAAGTCTGAGGACCATAAATATCAATATACCCAATAGCATGAGTTATCTGTGTTAAAACCAGAATTTAAGGTCCATGATAATATTCTTTGTTTAGGAATGACTATTATCTGTCACCCAATTAAAAGGTGCCTCTGGGGAGTATCTTTCTTTGTTTCTTTCTTTGCCATTGCTTATCTTTTCTTCCTGGAAGATCAGTTCTTACCACCATTCCCATCCCCACTTGTCTCTGAGTCCATTAATGATATCAGTCAAGATTTCCATAATATTGTATATTGCCCATACTTTTTTTTAAAGTAGAGCTGCCATCAGTTCTGCTCTTACCTTTATACTGTGTTCTTTCAACGATGTAGCAGGTAGAACAATGGCAAAACTCTCAGTTTTCATACTCAGGCAGAATCTCCATCTCTTGCAGGTGCTGAGCTAAAGGTAAATGTGTTGTTGATCCATTAGGCTTTGATTTCCTTATGGGCTTGATGCTGTATTTAAATGGCCTAAGACAAGGTAGGACTATAATAATGGGTGCATTTTTAATGATAGGAATGATTCATATTAGGAGAGATATGATTACCAGTCCAGTAGTCAAGTTTTTACCTGAGCCTGAACTCTCTCAATTGAATCTTTATTTTCTTCTAACTACCAGAAAGTAACTAGCTAACTGGCATCCTTGTTTTCTATTACAGGAGTTTCTCAAAATGTGGTCAGACCACCTAGCTCTGAATCTTCTCAGAAGTTTGTTTAAAACCATGTCTCTGGGACTCACGCTGTCCTACTGAATTTCTGTGGTGTAACTCAGGCATTTTCATTGTTACAAGCTCCCAACGAGAAGGTCTGAGAATCCTGTCCTGCTCCAGGACTACCTGTCAGGATCTCTCAGGACATCTTATCCCTCCAGTTTATTTAGTGGGACTATTTCAGTTACTGCCTGGATCTCTGAAAATCCCCTGCCTTTGATTTCCTTTTGCATTCTCCCTAAAAACAGACCTCAAAATTAGACTCTCCAAAGCAGACATCTCTCATGATTCTATGGTTGATTATTGTCATTCACTTCAAACCGCACATGCTGGCCCTGCCCCTCAGTGTTTCAAGCAGGGTATGTCAATATCTTTCTCTTCTTATCTGTGAGTATATTCTTAATTTTCCTTCTTTATTGTGTGATGTTTTTGAGGGTCATCTATGCTCCATTATAATCCATAAATTCTGGGTGGGATGTGACTCACCTTTGGTCTTTGAGATAACCTGAGTAGTTTAAATCAATCAATATGTGCATTTCCCTGTCCACAGAAAATGGCATAAGAATGTCTATGCGTCTAATCTGCTCAAAGAGGAATAGAGACCATGGAGATGGGAAGATACTGACTTCAAGTAGTTTAAGCTTTGTTTTTGGAAATGATGAGAAGATATACTAATTTTCTAGGCCCATGGTTCCCACTCTTTTCTGCACATTAAAAAAAATCATCTGATCATCTTAGACTACTTTACTCAAAAGACAGTTGGCTTAACTGCTTTTCTGCCTTCACTGTGTTTATGCTATTTGTTTGAAACTCAGAAAAGGCCATTTCCCCCCATCTTTGCTAAAATATTATCCTCCTTGGTTAGAGGATATGTTGGTAACAAAGGTGAAATTATACAGAAAGCCGTCCATGGAGAAATATTACTATATCCAGATAACGTTCACCAAACTCCTTCCCACTCAACCTCACTGGTAACAAACATCATGAGCCTTGGAGCTTTCCTTTCTTTGATTTTTTTTTAATGTACAATTGAATGGATAATATGTGTGTTTTCTTTTTCTTCCTTTTTTTTTGCCTTTTCTCTTACACAAAATACAATTTCTAGAGATTTTTTTTCTGCATTTTGCTTTCTTCAGTTTACAAGATAGCTTAGAAATCTCTTCAGTGCACAAAGTCTTTCTTATTCTTTTTCAGTCACATACTACAGCACCCCATTTGCAGATGCATCACAGTTTATTCAACCATTTTACCATATGGCTTTTCAGACAGTTTCTTCCCATATTTTAAAACTACAAACATATACTTCAAAAATGAATGACCTTGTACATAAATATTATTATTTTTATTTCTATAAAATAAAGAAGCAGGATTAATT